ATCATAATAAATTGCAAAACTAAAGGAATTAACAACTAAGAAAATAAAATCAAACACTAATCTAACATAAACAAGTAATTAAGGATAAAAAGGTACAAAAATAAGTAAATAGAATAACAAAATAAGAGAGAGAGAGTAAGAAATTCTCATTGATATTGCAAGGAGTATCCAAATCTTCAAGTTTCTTTCCTTCAATTCTTCATATTCCAAGCTTTTAACAAGCTTTTCTCACTTTCTCTCTCTAGAAAATGAGAGTTTCTCTCTCTAAAAACCCTAACCTAAGCTAAAACTAAAACTAAGAAGATCCCCCTACAAATGAAGCTAAAGGGATATTATATAACCCCCAAGTAAAAGGGCGGAGAAAACAAGAATCGACCCGTCTCCAGGTCGGCACGGACGTGCAGACCTATAAAAATGACAACAGTAGCTTCTGCCTGACCTTGCACGGACGTGCATCACTTGGCACGGACGTACAACTTTTTCTGGCGAAACAACTTCGTTTTGGAAGGTCATAACTTCTTCATTACTCATTGGAATAAGGCATGTAAGTAGTCGTTGGAAAGCTCTTGAGATAAACTTTAATATTCAATTTGAATCACTTCAAAAACTTGAGTAGAAAAAAAGTTATAGTCATTTGAAGTTGACCTTAGTGAAATAATCCTTCCAAAACCCTTCCAAATGCTCTTATTTTACTCTTGTACACTTTTCCTTGCTTCTTTCATTCTTCCATAGCTCCCTTATTTCCTCTTCTTGTCTCCAACTTCTTTTCTTCTTTGTCCAAAAGCTTCAAAGTGTCATATTTATACCTAAATATGCACCAAAACACTAGCAAACCCGTGAAGCATATGATACATAAAAAATGCATAAAAATAGAGTAATTAGTGAACTAAACATTGATTTCCCACAATTCTAGGGCTCAAAATCACTCTAAAATCATAGAAAATAACAAGTTATCACTTGTTGAGAGGGTGTTAGGGGTGAGGCCTGAAGTCGCCGATATTAGAGGCACAGGGCTGAGACACATATGGTTGCGAGAGACATTTGGGGTGTTGCCTCCTGATGCTGATGACGAAGTCGTTCAGAGATTCGCTCAAGCGTACCTATTCATGTTGATAGGATCGTTATTTAGTAACAAGAGTGGTAGTCACATATAGTTGATCTACCTACAGCTGGGAGCGGATACGTGACTACAGCTGGGGTAGTGCATGTCTGGCGACCTTGTATCGCCATCTATGCAAAGCATCCCAGCAAGGTAGATGGGAGATCGGTGGTCCCTTGATTGTGCTTCAAGTAGTCCCTTTAATTTTGTACCTTTTTTTTAACTATTACGTACTTAACGGTGACTAAACTTAACTTATGTTTTTTATTACAGTTATGGGCTTGGGAGCACATCTACGTTGGTAGGCCAGCTAGGGTTGCTAACTATCGACAACAGGGTGGCCATGAGGAGGAAGATGATCGGGAGCATGCATATGAGGTTCCGCCACTCCCTTCACAAGACCAGGCATACAGTTGCAGGTATGTATGACTTACAATTAAGTTATCCACATACCGCTTTATTTTGCTAATAATTTTTCATGAACACTGTTATTATATATAATTAGGTGGTTGGTGCGAAGACTTACTCGTGTGCATGCAGCGAGGAGTCTATCGTATTACAAAGACGCATTCGACAGGCTGAGCGTGTCTCAGGTGATCAATTACACTATAAAAACTAATTTAACACCTCGTTCATTGTTTCAATAAGTTAATTATGATGTTACTGACGGCGTGTATGCAGATGACGTGGGATCCGTACGTCGCTGACTTAGTCGATGCCATGCCCCCATATCTTCATGATCATCAGATGGAGTGGCGTGGCATGACGATCCTCATCCGGTTTGAGGTAGTGGAGGCTCACCTCCCCGACAGATTCATGCGATAGTTCAGCCTTCGTCAAGCTGTCCCCACCACGTGTGACACGAGTGTCCACTTGTATAGGACAGACCGACGAGGAAAGGGGACGTGAGCTGGGCAGTTCAGCATGCCCCTTTCATTGACATGTGGGATCAGCGGTTGCAGCACGTCGTGGATGGTGCGCCTTTCCAAGGCCGGATGGAGTATCACGATCCATACATGGTATGGTACAGGAGCATTACCCGACGCTTCATCAACCCTAACTATACCCCACCCTCAACTCATTATCAGTCAGCTTTTGGAGACATCGGTGGATATGTGAGTTTTAGATGAATTTTTTTTTTTATCAATTTATAATTTCTGATATTATTGAATTGACTGATTGTTGACTTATGCAGGCACTTGATATGCTGGCTATACATGATGCACTGGGAGTCTTGAACATATCATATCCCACCATACTGCAGATAGATGAAATTCAAGCGATGACTGTGACTAGCTTACAAAGACATGGTCATGGTCATCTTATCCCGAGGCGGGACCAATCACAGCAACAGTAGGGTGGAGGCTCCCAACAGCATTCACACCGTGAGGTAGGCCAGAGTAGTAGGGGACAGACTCACACGTCCCCTACAGCGTCCTCACAGTGTGGTGAAATCCCGAAGGATTTCACCGTACCCATGTTTGCGCCATACTTATCACAGGAGGGACCGTCATCCAGCCAACAGACTCCTCCCCCAAATTCTTTCAGAACTCCTCCCCCAGATCCTTTTAGAACCGTAACTCAGTATGTTCGTCGTTGGAGACCGTGAGTTGATAGAGAGCAATTACGTCGAATAGATGAATTAGGATCTTAGAATTGCTTTTGTTTGTTTGTTGTAATTGGATTCTCTAGTATGTAGTATACAAACAAATATTATTAATATAATTGGCTTTTTTTAACTGATTTTTTTTCCCATTTATCAACTGTACTGTACGCATTCATGCTTTTTATGGAACTGGTGGATGAAGGTTGTTAAATTGTTGGTTGTAGGTGAACGAAGTGGTGGTTTGTGGTGGTTGGTGTTAGTTGGGAGTGGTTGGCAGTAGTTGAACTGGTGGTGGGAGTGGCAACAGGCTGGCAAGAAGCCTGTAGGTTTCGGGAGCAGGCTGTTGCCAATAGTATCTTGCAGGTAAAGGTTGGCGTTTTATGTTGAAGGTAAAAATGCCAACCTGGTTGGCATTTTATGCTGAAAAACGCCACCCAGGGTAGCATTTTACCCTTGGCAGAATTTTTTTTCAAACATTTCAGTTAGGGGTAAAATGCTACCCTAGGTGGCGTTTTTCCTTCAAGCTTAGTTTGGTAAATACTTTTGCCACGCGTCTAAAATGGAGTATATATTCTACTTCCTCCGTTAACGGTTAATTGCAACAATTGTACTTGTTGCGGAAACCAAAGCAAAAGTTATAAAGCATGATTAAAAGCATATGATTAAGTATTAATCCAACCAAAAAAAAAAAAAATTCAACTAAAATTAAATTAATAACCCACCACCACTAGCACCACCCTACAGCACCGAATCCACCACCACCCAGCGGCACCGAAACAACCCAGCAACCACAAAACCACCGCCGCAACCACCTAACCCACAAAACCACTGCCGCAACCACCTCACCCAAGAACCCACGATCTGCACCCACGAACCAATCACCGCACCCACGAACCCACCACCATCGCAGGAACCCAATTCAAACCCAAAAAATTAAACCCACGAACCCACCACCACCGCAAGAAACCCATTTCAAACCCAGAAAATTAAACCCACGATCCCACCACCACCACACCCACGAACCCACCACCACCGCAAGAAACCCATTTCAAACCCAGAAAATTAAACCCACGATGCCACCACCACCGCACCCACGAACCCACCACCACCGCAGGAACCCAATTCAAACCCACCACCGCACCCACGATCTGCACCCACCCACGAGGCAACCATCCACGAACCACGAAATAGCCACCTACAACCACGAAGAAGATGATGAGAGATGAAGAAGGAAGAAGATGAGAGATGATGATGATGATAGGAAGAAGATGAAGATCGAAGAAGATGGAGGAGAGAGATGGTGGGGAGATGAAGATGGAGGAGAGAGTGAGGTGAAATTCAGAATTGATCTGATTTTTTTGGGGAAAAAAGTTAGATAATTAAGTTAGATTAGGGTTATAAAAATTTGTAATTATGTGTAGTATTATGTGTTAACAATTTTTAAATGAGGGTATTTTAGTCATTTTACCATAAAAAAGTTACTAAAAAAGGAAAAAAATAAGTTTGTTGCAACTAATAGGTAGCACCTATTTATAGTATATGTTGCAACTAACTGTTAACGGAAGAAGTAAATGGAGCTTAGTTTGAAAAATTTTCCGAAATCCTTCGCATTTTTTTTTTTTGAACAAGAAATCCTTCGCATTTACAACTTGTCAAATTTAGAAATTTTTACCATGTTTGATAAAGTAATTATATTCGTATATAAGAAAAAAGAAACATGAAATATTTTGTTAGATTCGCAAGACCCCTTGAGAAGGAGGAATGTAAAAGAATCTTCAACTATAAAGTGCCTTTAGTGGGATTAATTTCACAGCCTTAAGGTTGTAGAATACAATATCATCACTAGATCAATACTGTCTGATAACTTCATTTAAGTTGGCAACATAAGACGATGATTTCACAATCCATGAGTAGTATTTGGCCTCCAAATACTGAATCAAAAAAACTGTGAGGGTTGATGAGGGAAAATGAGATAAAACCTTGAACATTATGTTTGTTAAAAGCTCAAAAATGGCAAAAGTTATAGTAGTATGTTGGCTTTTAGGCCTCAATGATGAGTGATGATGGATCTGATCTAATGACTATGGGGTAGTTTGCCTAGAGGCTAGAACAAACTCCATTCAAGTCTGGTCATATCTGTTTAATGTTCAGTTGCAACTTGACCCAAAACTGGCCTAAAACCAAGTTTGAAATGATAGGCCCAAGATTAGAGTTCAATTTTTATGCGCAAATGGCCAGATTGGCTGAGTCGTTTATATTCGTATCTTGAATGCACCGATCCGGCTAACCCTGAAATCAATTTAAATCCAGATCAACCTAGCAATACAGTAATAAACCTACCTCACGGGTTATGTACGTATAAATTTTCCTACATATACAATCCAGTAGTGGCACTATGATAAAAGATCAAGTTACAAATGTAGCTACAGATTTATTATATCGAACAATGCTGATCATCCCTTAGAGGAACCCTCTTCAACTACAATAAGACAGTTACACCAGACCAAGTAAATGTTACACCTGTCTAACCATTTTCTAACAATTAGAGGCCGAAACACTAATCTGAATTAAGTCTTTATGTCAGTAACAGGATTTCTATCCTCAGATGCAGATGGGGCATCATCAGATCTCTCTACTTTCTCTGCTCCATTTATCTCATTGAAACTTCTTTTCTTCGAAGCAGAAGCCGGATTCTCGTCCTGTTCTTTCTCCTGTTGCTGGGCCTCACTGGTTGAAGCAGAGTACAAAGGAGGTTCACGGCCACTTAATCGGCAAAAGACTTTCTCAACGGTTTCGCTAATTTCCTTCCCCAAACCATTATCATCTAAAATTAAGTCCCACACCGATTTAGAGGCCTTCTCAAGCACAGGGGCTCTGCCAAAACAAGGAGACACTATGTTTACAAACACCCGACACAAGACGGAAAAAATTCAACAGACAGTTAACCAGCATTCGTCATAATACAAGAGCAAAGAGATCATCACTAACAGAGCAAATAAGAGCATTTCTGCTCTGCAGCATTTAGACACTAGACTATGCTGCCAACAAATTTTTAAAGGAAACCAATTACCATATTAGAAACACCATATACAATACCCATAAGCCCATATCGCATAGGACAGAATGCTCAAAATAGCCTTGACCATTGTGAAAGTTACGTGTCAACAGAACTTCACTAGTATTCAAGCTATTTGAAGCTGAACCTTATTATTCCTAGGGGCTGTTTGGTTACAGGATTGCAAGAGGAGAATTTTATCTCGATCTTCCATGTAGGTTGTTTGGTTTTGCCCTCCATTTTCCACCTTTCACCAGCTTTCCTTTCAACTTTCAAGACCACTGTTACCCCTCAGGCCCTCACCAGAACCACCACTCTGCTATTCTGGTCTAGTGGTGTCTTCTGCCTTGTCCCACATTCGCATCACCCTACTCTTCATTTGACCCACAACAGTTACCACACCCCTCTTTCACCCTGAAATCCAGAATCACCCACCAGAAGTCCAGAACCACAACCAACACCTCTCACACCCATAAGCCCCATCCGATACAATTTCCCATACTATACTAATAAATAACTCTCATCTCATTACTAAGGTGGCTCACCCCAATCACTAAAGGTCCAGTTTAAGGCAGGTCAAAAGAGTAAAGAGACGACAAGGGAAGGCAGTTGGGTGGTAGCAAGCAACCGTGACAAAGAAATGCAATGACAGATTGACTGCAGCAACAATTAAAGATAGATAAGCAGCAGAGGAGCAGCATTGTCAGTTGTGGCAGGAAGAGTGAGGAAAATGGTGGTCTACAGATGAGAAAGAACTGAAGCCAAGAGGAGGTTGTGACATTGATGGAGAGGATGAACAAGTGTGTTGAAATCCAGGAAGAGAGGAGAGAAAGATTGGAATGGTTGGAAACTTGGTATTATAAAGGAATTTAAAATTTCTTTCCACCTTTCCAGAATTCCAACTAAACAAAATTAATAATGGGAAGGTATTAATTTCTTTCCCATTTCTTCCACTTCAATCAAACGGAAAACAAGCTACCTCTCCTAAGTTTCCAATATGTATTACAGGCCCAGGAAATTTGACTGCCTAAAAGGGAAAGAAAAAAAAAATCAAAATTTCACATGTACACAAATTTTATTGGCACTCCAAGTAGTAGGACTAGTAAGTAATTGGTACCTTGTAGGACGTCAGCAAAGGTACTCAGATTAAAACACACTGTACCAACTCTGCAGAAGAAGCACATACTAGGCTGACTACATGAAAGGAAACAAAAAGACTGACTAAAAGGATGAGTGAGAAACATAACATTAGCTCTCAAAGAAAGTAAAGTTATGGTTCATGGTGAGACTAAAGTCTTATAATTTTGAAACCCACAAATGAAGAAACAACTCATCACGTTGGTTAGTTGGCACTATCTTGATCAAGTCCAATTTGTAGAGTCAAAAATCATCAAGCTTGCCAACAGCTTATAAAGCTAAAACTAATCCACACAAAACTCAAAAGTTTAATTCTAATTCAGGTGAAGCTGAGCTATTTACGACTTATGAAAGTAGACATCCTCATAGACATAACTCCCTTTCCCCACAACCAAGGCTGCTCCTAAAAATCTGAAAAGCAACGACCATCAGGATTAGCATCACAACTTACTCAAGCTCCTGTCGAAGAGAATCAAAAAGCTCCCTTTTGGTCTGCTTCTCTGCTCCAGGTGTGTTGAGAACCTTGCTTTGTTCCACCATTGTTATTGTTGTTTTCTTTAACTCCTCCTGTAAGAGAATATATATTCATCACTCCCCATTACCCCATATAGAAGGGAAGCATTAATAATGATGATAACCCCGATATAGAAGGGAAGCCTTATAATGGTGAAAACCCCCCATATAGAAGGGAAGCTTTAATAATGATGATAAGATCACGAGCAAAGAGTCATGAAGCATATAAACTATCATCTAAACCATATGATTTACAAGTATTATGACCATTGGAAAGGGAAACTAAGTCGGGATCCTAGGCTCAAAGTCTCTTACCCAAGGAGTGTATCACTCCTATTCCACAAAACAACAAGGAATCATAGAGCCCAATAATATTTGCACCACCATCCAATCATCTCAAGCAAAGCAAGATCCAGAACACATAAAAAGAGGGGGGGAGGCAGACAACAAAATGTTGGTTTTTGGATACACATTTTATTAGTTTAGCCGCAACTAAATCCTTCGAAATGCCTAAATGGAACATCAAACAATCCATCTACAAGGCCATCCAGCCATTCACTCCCTTCTTCAATTACTTTCAGCAGATTAAACCGTGCCAAATTGTAGTTTTAACACAAGGCATTAATAAGTCTAACACATAAATGATCATCTAGCTTCTACCATAGACAACCTAACATGATCATGGAAGCCACTAATCCAACTAAATAAGCTCATTATCATATCCAAGTATACATAAACCTTTCGAAAAACAGCCGTGCAGCGAAATCATTAAGCTTAATGTAAACCCCATGAATCCTTAAAAAAAAGGGGGGGGGGGGGGGGAGGGGGGGTGTTCTTGAAAATTAGTTGTTCACTTACATTAGCTTTAAGCTGATTGATAATCTTCAACCTCAAAGCGTCAATAGTTCCATCATTCATCAAAGACTCCAAAACATCATTCGGGCTAATTACAGAAGATGATTCCATTATCTTATTTTTCAGCTGAATCTTTAATTAGCACACCTGAAATTGATACATAAAATACAATTGATCAAAATAAAATTCATAAATTTACACAAAATTTATGTATTTTTGTACCTATATAATTTCTTTATCTGGGTTAAGAATATGATAGTTTAAGTGCAAAAATAAAATCCTGTCTAATTTATACGATTCGGATTTTAAACCTAAATTCTAAAATTGATGATAAAATAGTTTAGATTTTTGAAATTTGGAATTAATTGTAAAAGAAATTAGGGTTACCTTTGAAGAGGAGAGAAAAAACTGGAAAATCGCTGCTGCCGTACGCCGGAGGAGATTGCAGGTCAGCCCGGAGAAACCAAGCAAAAGGAGTGCTCTTTCCCTTTTTAATGCTCGCGCTGAAGGTGCAAATTTTTTTTTTAATGGCAAAAGATAACGAGCGAATTCAAGCTTGATATGTTTATCTAGGGGTGTCTGTGTAATTTCGCAATATAAATGAGTGGGTAAAGTTGGCAATTCAACGTGCAATGTAGATGACAGTTACCCTTGGGTAACCCAAGGTAGAGAGAAAATCATCATGAAGTGGTGGTAAACTTTACTTGCGAGATTGAGAAGGACAAAGGAGGCATAGCTAATGGGAACGGCGGTGGTTGTGTATGTGTCTTATATGACTGATCAACCATGGTACGACTTCTAATTGGTTTATTAAACGCGCTATAAGATGTATCGGAAAATTATGGTGATTAATCTGGGATTCAGTTTTTCAATTTTACTGATTGGTTGGTTGTCGTTGAGTTTTGAATATGAAATAGTCCATTTGAAATACATAAGTCCATTGACTGATTAATAAAATAGATTAATGTGTTTGTTTTGATTTGTTAAATTGAAAACAACATTCCAAGAACTGGGTTAATTTAACGCAACAAATTGGAGTCGTTTTCACACTAACTTCCTCAATCCATCTAACAATGGAAGCAAAACAACTAATCGAACAACATACCTATCAAGTATACTCCACAGTAGAAGTACCATTGACCTTCATTTAACCAATTAATTGTAATTTTCAACACATTCTCTCTCCTCCTAGTATCGTGACAATCACCACCAACCGCCGCACCATCACCACCAACCTCCACTAATTTCTCTCTCCTCCCCCTACACCATCGCCCTCTCTCCACCTCTCCTCCACCCCCACAACCACAATTCCAACTCCAAATCCCACTTCCCCAATCCCAACCCCCCTAAAAAAAACAATTCTAAACATACACAACATGGGTCAATTTAACAAACCCAGTTTCACCCCTTCGGTGTTAACCACGCCATAAACTCCCAGTCCGACCCCGATTTAGTCTTCAGCATCTTACTTTCCAACTGCTTATTGCCATTAGTGTGAAAAAATGAAAATACCAATACTTACGACATGAAAACGTCAAAAATGGAATTAAAAACCACAACCAACATCTAACCATGAGTTACTTTCAGTTAACTATGTCAACCCAAAACTAACGGTCGTTAATCTATGGACGAGACCCACAAAGGGACAAAGATAGTACAATTTATGTTAATCTAGGAGATAAATGGGGGCATGCTCGCGTTAGATAATAAAAGAACTAAATGTGGTAATATTAAAATAAAGTTACCATTAATTAAACTAAACGACGGATGATTTTGAATTAATACTATTTTAAAGTCTTATTTGTGCTTCCCTTTAGAGCTCATTTCTTTTACGCTTGCACACTTCTCTAGTTCTCTCCTCTATTGAACCGTACTCTGAATCCTCCATTGAAGCGGCTTCTGAGCTTTCTCTCCTCGATTGAACCGGCTTCTCAGCTTTCTTTTCTCCATTGAAGCAACTTTTGAGGTAAGATGTTTTTTCTTTTTTCTTTTGTATCATTAAAATCAATTTCACAATCTAGGGTTCATCGTCAAATAGTCAAATTAGGGTTCTTAGGTGGACTATTTAACTAACAATTACAATTACTAAAGTTAGGTTAGATTAGAATGAGCAATTTTGTTGCTAGAATTTTGATATGTGCACTCAACATTGGTATTCTTAATGCAAGCAGAATTGTTTTGTGAGCCTACTTTGATAATTGAATCAAATTTGGTTGCGAATATGTTGCAGGCCTTTGATTATAACCCTTTAATGTTAGAACGGAACTCTGAAAATGGACCTGAGCCCAGGGCAGGCGCCCCTCCTGCCCCGGCTCAGGGTCGGGCCTTCGCCGAAGAGGGGAAGGATCCATTGGAGTGGAAAAACATGAGTACTACCAGTGATAAGGTGGAAAATGGCCAACCAATTACGAAAAAACGGCTTCCAAAGAAAATTAGGCAGATCCCAGAATGTTATTTCCTTCCCAGGAAATCTATACCCTCCGCAATTGCATTTTATGGATCCTTTATTGTAGCTGGAGTTGGTGCTGGCATGCTTTGGGAGGTTTGGATCAACAAGAAAGTTAAAGGTATAGAATTTGTTGCAATGTATGAGTGCGTATCTTCGTGTTTTTCTGTATAGTAGATTACATTGCAATAATTAGTTGCATAATAAAGTTAATTTGATTGTGATCATGGTTGAGGGTCGTCTAATGAATGCATGGTTGATAGAATGGTATTGTTCTATCACTCGATATTGTATGATGGAACCACTCATTTATTTTGCTCTTTATAAGTTTGGTAAATGAGATAAAATTGGTTTTCATTTCCAATGGAGTTGAATGGTTTGTTTTGTAAAGTTTGGGTAATAATAATAATTGGTTAAATCAAAATGGTTTGTTTTTCTGGTTTGTGATTTTTATTTACTCGTTATGAAGTAACACATTGTTGTTGGGTTGTTGCTTTTGGTATCAAGGGTAATGCTTCTTCATTGCTGATTGATAAGGTTATGTAATTTTAACTGACATATCTGTTTATCTTATCTCTCGTGGCTCTTTGTGGCTTTGGAGTAATGTTGATGTAGATGTTGAACCTGCAATGAAATGAATTTGATTTTAAAATATATGATTTTGGTTCCACTTGGCCTTTATCCAAAATCATAGAAGCCTTGGATTATTAAGTTTATTCATCTTTGCAGATACTCCTTGTATATCACTGCAATCTTATAGACACAAATTATGAAAATTTGTTTGGCATGAAAGTATGAAACTGATGTTATTACTGGAACTCATAAATTGCTACTAGAATTTCTCTTTTGTTTTTCTGGTGCTCCTTATTATCTCTGTAAAGTGAATTTTTTTCATCTGAAGTTGGCTCTTTGAAATGATTGCAGAGGATGGAGGTATTATCTGGGAGTTCAACAAATGAAGCCAAAGAGAATCAATTGTCTCCATCACATCTATGTAGGCCTTTTCTTATCTAACTGAATGGTTACCAACTCGGAACGGGTTGTGCATAAATTTTTTTGATTTTGCTTTGAAAAGGTTTTTTTTTTTTTTTTTTTGTTTTCTTTCATTCTATTTGCTGATGGATTTCTTGTCAATATGGTTCACACTGCCTAGTTGATGAAGGCTTGGTCGATTAGTAGTGTTGTAGACATTTTGGTTCAATAGCTATGATACGGGGAGTATAATTGTATGACTGCCATGCTTGCTGCATTAATGCAGAAACAGAGCTCATGTGGACTTATATTTTTGCTTGTACTGATCAGGCTATCTCTACTCTTTATGGGTCCTTTTTCGGAGAGCATTGTAGGTACAAAACTCGACGAATCTGTACTGTGTTAACTTTATATCATTCATCTATTTTTATGTCAAAGGCGCTGGAACTTCAGGTTTGTGGTCTAATGCCATCACTGTTTTGCCTTTATCATCCGTATGATGCTGTCAATGCTCTTTTGGAGAGCATATTTTGTGCAAATTATTACTGCTAACACTAGAGCTTCCAGACTCTTGCTTGTCTTTTGGAAGATATTGACAGTTATTTTTATACTTTGGTTTTGGTAAACTTCAAATTCTCAATGTTAGAGATATGAGATGAAGTAATCAATGTCAGAATATACATTTGTGTGATTCCAGGATGATATTACTCCTCCGTCATGTAATAATCGCAACACATTTTTTTTCTTCCATTTCTTATTTGATAAGAACCTACTTTTTTTTTTTTTTTTTTTTTTTTTTTTTTTTTTACTATTTCTCCCCCCTATTAACCCCATTTTTTTACACTATTTTTTTTTTATATTATTTCTTTCTCCTACTAATATTTAATTATAACCCTGCGCCTTTTTTGCCCAGTTCCTGGACATTTCCAGGGGACTGGTCAGTTTCTTTTTGATTTTCTGGCTCAAATCTATCTTCTTTCCATCAGAAATCGGAGAAGGATGAGCTGACATCTGTTATCATCTTTCAGAACCAATTATCTTTATAACTAGAACAAATTTTTTTTTGAAACAATTATAACTAGAACAAATTTGTTTCTAGCTGACTTATTTCCCTATAAAAGGGTCAGACAAATTTCCATAAATGATTATATTTTTGGGCAAAAATGGGTGTTGAAATTTGACTAGTCATTGGAATAGCACCAATTATTAAGTGGGGTGCAATGTGTGTCATTAATTGTCCTTTAATTACTGAAAATGCCGTCTCAGTTTAAGTGTCAAAAAATATTTATTAATGGCGTGTGTTACACCCAAATGAATAGTTGGTGGTGTGTCATCGACTAGTCAAATTCAGAGTGTTGGGTACATCCATCCTATAGTTCACGGTATTAATAATTTAAAACCAATTTTGTCCATATTTTATAATATCTTTCATCTTAACATGTCTAAGAAATTTGAATTTTCTCTCCTCTCTCTCACTCTTATTTATAAAAAGGAAAAATTGGTCGCAATAACACCAACTATGACGAAAGTGCGTGTAGCAGCACAACCTTTTGAGGGTGCACTCAACATCCCAAACTATGCACTTTGCACTTGGGTGCACATAACAACATAAATGACATTGGCATAACTTAGATTTCTTCAGAAATTGGAATCTGAAATATTTTTAATGCTTTTTTTTATTTATATATATATATATTTGTTTAATTCCATTCTACTTAATTTTCCATCTCACGTAACCAAGTAGTCTTCTCTTACATTAATTATTTTACTTTAAACACCATTCAATTTCCACCATTAAATTAAATTATTTCAAAAGGTTTTCACCATTATTTTCTATCGTTTATTTCTTCAATTACTTTTTTTTACATCTCATGTGATTGACTTAGTTTCCTCTTCCATTATAATTAATTTTTTCCCTTTAAATTATTCTCTCTCAACCTCCACAATTAAAGTGTTGTACATCAAAAACCAAAAAATCAATTTGGCATATCTTAAAATCCAATTCTAGAATTGTTGTTTGAATTAAGTATTTTGAATCATTTTGTGGGGCTTAATTGGTATTAGAAAGTTATTTAATTTGGTAGAATAAAGGTTTTCGAATGATTTTTATTTATTTATCAATTTAGTATTTGACTAAGTGGAGAGGGAAAGGAAATTAAGTCAATCATGTGAGATCAATATTAGAAAAAAAAAAAAAAGCAATTGAAAAAGCAAACGAAGGAAAATAATAGCACAATTTTTTTTGAAGGAATCCGCTTAAATGGTGGAGGTTAAGAAATGCTTAAATGAAAAGAAAAAATAAATAAAATAAATAAAATAAAAAGGAGAAGAAGGGAAGGCTAATTTAGTCACGCATGATGGAAAATCATGTAAATTTAAAAAATGTTTAAACAATTATAAAATAATGAAGATTTCACTTATTCCATGGAACCTTAGTTCATTAGTGTCATTTTATGCTAATATGTGCACCCAATCACATACTTTGTACTGTACACTGCACCCTTAAAAGGTTGTGATGCTACACACACATTTATCATAGTTGGTGTATCCCTTAAAACTAGATTTTAAAATTTAGGCTCCCAATAATATATATGAAGATAGAATTTCCCCGATGACGGTAAACTGTCAGTACAAATTTATTGTCATCGGTAAGTAGCAACAAATGTTTAAATTGTTGATAATTCTAAAATTATGGAGAATTTTACTGGTCGTCAATAGTAAAACGTCTGTAAATATCGCTTTCCTATAGTATCGGTACAAATTTATTGTCATTGGTATGTAGCGACAAATGTTTAACTTCTGTATAATTCTAAAATTACCGGTCGTCAATGTATGTAAAAATTGCTTTCTTGTAGTGCATCATGGTACTCCAACTCTCCAAGTAGCCACCATTATCCTAATTATGTACTCGTACTAATTGTTCTTTATGTTTGGCCTTAACATATCATTATTGCTCTTTTGTCGTTGTGCTTGGTGGGTCTCTATTACGAGTATTACCCCTACCCTTATTTCATCACATGTCTATATTTTCATAGATTTATTAATAGAATGAACGGAGTTAATGCTAATCCCTTCTTCTCCATACATTTTTTTTCCTTTTTCGTTTTTTTAGTTGAGATAAACAATGTATAAAAGTTTTCTATATCGAGAAAACACCAAAAACATAAGCAAAAGGAAAAAGTAGGAGGATTAGTTTACTGGATCATTTTAACCTTTGAATTTAATACTCCATAATATTTATTTATCTAATTCTGAATTGAAATTACTTATTTTAAATTTTAAATACTATTGACTATTAACTTTGAAAAATATTTATAGGTATTTAGGGTTCGTTTGGCATTGTTGTGATTTTCTGTTTTATGATTTTGATTTTCAAAATCATATGATATATGTCGTCTAATGAATAAAAAATTAGTTAAACTTATTAAAATCCTGATAATTTAGAAACTGACAACAAAAAAGTGGAAACATTTTTTTTTTGTAGCCTGTCTTTTGTTTTTGGTTTTTAAAAAAATAAAAAGCTAAAAACAAAAAACAATGTCAAACAAACACTAAGATATTAATTTATTAATGGAAAAATCCACGAACGAGAAATAGAGAACTACTACTCGTATGTGCAAGGTGGAGCCATTGGTGGCGAAAATGATTGCACAACCACTATAAGATGGCGCCACCAACAACATGATTCAACCAAAAAATTAAGATAAGGCAAAACAAAAAAAATAAAGTTTCAAGTAACAAATTATTATCATCTAAAAATTCCAAAGTAGTCATTTTAACTTTTGTTTTCAAAACTCTGAAAACTACAATCTTATACAGTAAATATGATCTGGGATTAATATTAATTCATTCCGATATTATATTGAACATATCAAATTGAATTGGGACTTTTATATGTGAAGCAAAATAATGTAAATATGGACTAATTAAGAAGATTCTTCCAAAATAACTATTTACTTTCACTTGATCACCATTGAAATAGAGACTGAGCTTGAATTGAAGATGATGGTTATAAAAAAAATTACTTTTGTGGTAAATAATTAATACAGCAGTAAACAATAATACATGCAGAAATATATAATTACATAATCAATTATAAATTAGGAAATAAAATTTGGATGTTTGTAATTGGTATGTTAATGAAGCCATTGCCTCACAAAAAATTCCAAATATGGAAACTCTAAAAAAGAAAAAAAAAAAAAAAAAAGATTGAGAAGGTCAACAAAATGCTAAAAATCTCATACTTGTATTACATTTTGTGTCCTAAAAAGTTACTTATTTGTCCAAGTAATTAATCTAATAATAATGGACCGATTATCAGAATTTGAAACTTGAAAAAAAATGATTCCAAATTCCCACATCTTTACTCTGTTTACTACTCCCTCTGTAATTTACTACTCGTATGTTCAATTAACTTTGCTCTGATATCTTTAGAAGTTCCAAAGGTAAGAGTCTTGGTAAAGTGAAGCATCATAAGTGTTCTCGGCCTCTTGACTAACGTAATCAAAATTATTATTTGACTGATGTTGCGTTGCAAAAAAATCACCCCCGGTAAAATCATCAAATCCGGTTAAATATCCGAAATCCGACACGTAATTACCCGACCCGAGTGCGTTACTCAAACTTAACTGATCTTGAAACGACGCTTCTACCCCTGCCACCTCAAAACTACTCGTGTATGTATAACTATCCATTTGAGTAGTTGTTGTTGTTGTTGTTGTTGTTGTTCCGTCCGACATAGATGGTGAGTATGACAACGCCTCACCCGACTCTTCAATCATCGGATTCTCCTCTAATCCACCTCGATCATCCTCGTTTGTCGAGTTATAAGCGAACCTAGAGGCCGCAACTTGGATCTCAGACGGAGTCATTGACCGCCCTCCAGCAATATCAGGTGGATTCTCAGGAAAATTAAAGTTAGCGGACTTGCCACGTAAACAAAATTGTGCCGCGTCAAATGCACGTGCTGCCTTCTCAGCTGTGTCATACGACCCCAGCCAAATCCTCTCCCGACTGTTAGGGAGACGGATTTCGGACACCCATTTACCCCACTTCCTCTTGCGTACACCCTTATATTTGATCGAGTTTATGTTACTACTATCGTTTGGTTGGTACTCCGGCGATTTCTTGACCATTTTTTGACGAGTTTGTAAGATCGAGTTGGGATTTGAGAGTGTAACGAATTTTAGTTGGATGAAGAGAGTGATGCAATTGAGGTGCTTATTTATATGTGTTTGTGTTTTGAGGTGAGATAAGTCAACACATTAAAAGAAGCGTGTTGGTCAAAGGGGGGGAGGAGTCGCACGTGGACAAGGGATTAGTGAATACGGGGAAATATTACGCGGTTGATTTGAATTTCTGATGTGCTACATAAATAAGAACCACGTGATAGTGATTTTTTTTTTAGTAAAATATTATACATTAGCCACGTGTCATAATGATGTAGCACTATCTTGGAAAGGGCCGTAAAGCCGTAAAGTGGACCCCATTTCAAAGAGTGAGGGACAAATCGAGTAAGGAGTAACATCATTGAAAACTACATACTTGTACAGTTTTTGTTTCTTTTTTTTTTTTTTACTAGTGATAGACTTATGGATATAGACATATAGTACAATACTCCATCAATTGTACTGTTACAATAAGAGATGGAAATGAGCCAAGTCGAAACGAAAAATGGCCTGATCTGATATGGTCTAAGTCTATCATATGCACGTCAGTAGGTTCAGGCTGTGTATGAACTTCATTATTAAATTTAGTATGAGCACGGCGAATTGGCCAATGTTTCGGCCAAGTTATCAAAAAAATATAGTCCATATAATTTATTAGGTGGCCCGCTAGCACACACTATTTTATTCTTGGCCTGTTCTAGACACAAACCGTTTGAACACGATATGATGCATGCTAGCTTGACACATAGGCCTACATGGCACGGCTCGTATCCATGCCCATCTTTAGTTACAACTAACTTACAAGTGTACTTTCTTCATAGCAAACTCGCATCTTTTTCAAACAGTGAAAAGTGAGAAAAGATGTTGAAGAAGAGTGTAGGTTAAATTAGGGCTCTTATATTAAGTTGAGTGCTCAAGTTTCAAAGTCATAAAAAAAAGTTTCAAAGTTATAGTCTCGACTGTGTAAAAGAATCAAATAAAATCACATATAATATCATTTTTTTAATGTCTATATATTATTAGATTAAAAATATGGACGAAGACATGAAGTTTATCGTGGATTTACTCTTCGTTAATCTATTTGTACTACTTCCGTTTCTTATTAGTTGCAACAAAAGTTATTATTTGTGAGAAGTAAAAAATTCATTTATTGCAAATAATATTAAAAACAGTATTCTAGTTTATTTGGTTATGTTCTTGGGTCTGCAACCTTACTATTTTGACTCTAGCTGGCAAATTAAAACCCCGTTTTGATAAGGAGTACGTGTAATAATCTTTGTTGTTTTTGCCCCACAAAATATTTATTTATTTTTATTTTTTTGTTTTTTTTGTGAAAGTATTGCTCATTATACTAAGGAGAGTAAGGACCTTAATAATGGACTAGGTGATTTGGACAAATCATAACTGCCCAACATATATATTTGTATTTTCTCAAAACCAAATTGAATTTACAACTCCATAGAAATGAACATACTTCCGTATATAATTTTAATTGGTCTTGGCCTCCTAAAACAGATAAGTGATAATAGGTATTATGAGTACATTTTACAAAAGAATTATATATATGTATGTAATTTAATTTGAACACTTTAAGGGTAGGGATTTCTATTACCCTTTCACTCAGGTTGGGTTGATCCAAGTGAGGTTCCGATCCAATAAGATAGTTCATGGAAAAAATAATCATCATATACTCAACATATAATTAGAATTAATAAAACTAGAACTACTCCCACAATATTTTTATATACTTGTAAATGTATGTACGGAGTACTTGGTATTTACATTTATATCATCATTGTTGTGATGTTGTCGACTTGTCGTAGGTACTATGTGATTTGGGTCAAAATATCCAGGTCACGTGGCCCAATCACAAGGGGACACATGTCACCCCAGGAGAGGTCCAAAAAGGACCAAGTTGACACGTGGCACTCTCAATCCTCAAGGAAGAAGGCGGCTTTTAACGGTCCAAATTCCGATAACGCTGTAAAAACGACGCAACCCATTTACCTAGGTTGATGACCTAAAAAAGGTGGCACTGATTCCCATGACCCTATAAATAAGGAGATTTACCCCAATTTGGGGACACGTTCATTTATTACGCACAATCAATTCTCTCACATCAGAGAAAACATCTGATCTCGGAATCTGAGAAGATCTACTTTTACTTTCCGCACTTTTTACTCTCCTTCGACTCTTACTAACTTGATCGTTAGAGGCGGAACTCCGCACAACCGGAGCTTCCGTTTGTTTACAGGCGAAGGGAATCTAGTCTTGGTGACGTAACTCTCCCGCAAGACACCTAAAAAAACACGAAACACTATGCGGTCATGCTAGACATTAAAGTGCATTTAGCAATAGTAACCTATACTCCTGTAGTCGTACAAGTCAATAAGTCATAACCATGAAATATTATACGGAATATGAGTATTTTATATGAGTACTCCATACATACAAAGTATATTTTGCCCATACATATACACTATGTCACATATATTTTGAGTTTGTCCCATCCGTTTTATCGGAACTTAGCTTTGACTACATTCGGATTCGACCCGGATTGCACACCTGGCTTATGACGGGTGAATCTGATTACAAGAGTTTTCTGCATTCGGCGAGGCTCGAACTGAAGACCTCCCTTAAACGACATCAAATTGTTTACCACTTGAGCCAACTCTTGTTGGTCACTATGTCACATATAGATATCCAATCATTAAGGGTCCGTTTGACATCACTGTGGTTTTCTGTTTTTTGATTTTTTGTTTTTCACAATCATATGATATATGTCATACAAGTATAATGAATCAAAAATTAGTCAAACCTATTAAAATAATGATTATTTTGAAAACTGACAACAGAAAAGTGGAAACACCTTTTTTCTTGTTTCCTTTTTTTCGTTTTTTGTTTTCAAAAACTTAGAAAACCGAAAATAAAAAACGATGTCAAACAAGCCATCATTTTTTCGCATAATCCTTTTGTAAAAGTATACCTAAATGTTCCCACTCTAAAATTAAAAATAATCATAATTTCATACGTACTCCTAACATATTATAAAAGTCTGTATGTCAGATTGTCAGCAACATGTTCCCACTTTCTAATACTTACTGTAATATCAGCATTGCCATTGTACGAATGAAGAATATATTCAAGCACGTTTTGACGACTAATAAGATGTTTAGTTTAATGATATTATGGCTTTACGTCAAAATTGTATCTTATTATTTGTCCTTAGTAGATAAAGATGACCTCTGCTTCGTAAGTAGCTTCAATATTATTCTTATCATGTGATTCATGTCAAACCCTTTTTCAAGTCAGTTCATTTGGTTTCCCTTTTACTTTATGACATCCCCCACACCCTTTTTTTTTTTATAACGACTCTTGTTACATTCATGGTACGGTATGGTATAGTCATTGGAAAAATGTTAATTAAGAACATAGAAGAGGTCAAATTTTCCCTCTTCCTAGAAGGTGATTAAGATTATATTTATTCTACTTTAACTTTGTTTATTGTCTCGTAAAAAATATTTATTTTTAAAGTGTACCGAAAAAGATTTTATTTAAATAATTTTAGAAATTTTATATTAAATTACTACAAAGATGAGAGATGTAACATGTATGTACTTCATATACATAGTTGGAAACAGAATTCTTCTCAGTGTGTAAGGGTATTTTAGGTACCAAAATGTCCAATGTCTAATGTCCAAATGTACTCGAGTTTCGCCTTGCAAGGGTGTTTGAGAGCTACGCCTACAAGAAAGAGAAAGTAAGTTGCCCCAAGGTTTGACCCGGGACGGAACGCCCCTTCGACACTTAAGTCAGTAATATACTTTCTAGAAAGAGAAAGTAGAGAGAGAATCAGAGATTGGAAAAAGTTATTTACCATCATTAATCACTGGCTTGCTATTTATAGATGTATGTACTTCCAGGTGGCAAAGATGTACTTTGTTGGACATATTAGGGGTAAATCTGTACTTTATGATAATAAATAGATGATTAAGGATGATGAACTGGATTATAGAGAGATATTTTCGTCATTTCAGATTTAACGAGCTTAGGACATGGACTAGGCTCAAACAGTAGCATATGGAATTTGTTAGATTAGAATGAGAAAACCATTCACGATTAAGCTAGTGACTTATACATTGACATATTGAGATTTGGCATGAAGTTTTCTTTAAATATAGTAGAGTAATTTAATTTGTTTATTAACACATAGATCCTCATATTACTATCGTAATTTATAGACCTTTACTTTAATATGGTTTTTTTTTTTTTTTTTTTTTTTTTAAAAAAACGAGCCAGCTAGTGAGATGGTACGGTATACCCATATGTACCCTTTTCTTACACGGTTAGTAGCAAAGACCATAGACTATCAAGAATAAAAAGAGTCAAATATTGTTCAATATCAAATTCACTCATGTAACTCGACACACCTTAATTAATATTACATAAGAGAATGTTCCTTATAATAATTACTTCCTTGACCACTACCAGTACCTCTCATTGGTGTAAACTACGGAACGCCGTCAAAACATATTTGCATTATTGTCAAATTAATTCGATCAACCGCCATTATTTTCATCAACTACTACATTTTCTTTTTGAAGGAAACTACTACTCGTATACTTTCTAGTTTCTATCCTTAAACTTTTGGTTTTCTTAGATTTCAGATATTGAGTAAAATAAAGAGTTAATTGTTAACAATAATTTTATAAGACGAATTAAATACAGAGAAAGAGTTTAAGTCAAAAGGTGAAGTCGTTTCTCGTTAACGCGTGGTTGGTCCAAATTCAACCCGTACATGAAACATGAGTATTAGCCATGCAAAACCCCCTTACGTCATTGCAAATTATCGCATCATATATACCAAGTATGTGTCAACGTCCTTATATCACTGTTGAGTAATAAACCGTACTTCTATGGTTCTATGTCATCCGTATGTTTTTTTTGTGCAAGATTATCCATCCTTATGAGTGACTTAATTAAACTTACTTCGAGAGATTTCTTTTTTTCATTTATTATTGTACGTACTCGTATATATTGGGGAAAAAA